GGACGAAAAAGCTTGTAAAATATCCGGTGGGAGGAGATGAAACATGGATGGACCCAGAGGAGCAGCTTGGCCATAAATGAACACGTTGCAAGAGACAACAGAGTGGTCACTTCCTGGGAAGCGTGGGCCAAACTGCAGCTGTAGCCAAATGGCCATCGTTGGAGAATATTAGGTCCAGAATATGTAAGCCGCGAGTGGGATCACGTACAAGTTGGGACCAGCCGTCCACACCAAGTTGCGCAGGCAGCGCGGTGTAACGGACGGGGCCAATGGCAGAGGACCAGGAGATTTCCGGCAGGTTGAAGTCACCCAACAGAAGTTTAGATGGATGAGGAAGAGCATGCGCAGTGGATATGATACGGGAAAGATCAGCGCTAGAGGCGGGGGAGGGAGCAAGTGGTAAATAGATACAACCCACTACTACAGGTTGTTTTGTCTGTTCTCTGGATAATCAAACGATCTCTAGAATCCCTTCCAGAGAAGGTTCGTCAAATGGGGTTGCACGAAGTTCTCACTCGGAATAGACGGCACAGCCACCGCCCCTTGAGTTTTTCCTATCGGAGCGGTAAGTGTCATAGGAGGGATTAAGGTGTCCGAGTCAGGAGTTTCATCTGTGAGCCATGTTTCAGTCACACAGATAACACTCGGTCGTGCAATGGCTCCAATCGCTCGGAGGTTATGGATTTTGGGCAGTAATGAGCGGGCATTGAATAACATTGACAAGCTCTTTGGCGAGCAGACGTTATTAAGTAGGAACTTTGTAACCTCACACACGGTGGGGTTCTGCATTGAGGGGACTGGGAACCTGGTGGTTAGGTTATATTAAACAGGGTCCGAAGTCTGGGAGGGAGTATTCAATACTGTTTGTAGATGGGTAAATCGTCGTTGAAATAGGTTTGAACCCACGATAGGAGGTACTGGGTCAGGGAGGAGGAGCTCCATGGACAAAGAGTAACAGGCTGGGTCAGGCAATCGTTTGTAATAACGTAATCGACGTAGTCAGGAAGTGGTACCGTGTGTGGTAGCTCGACAGAAACAGCGGGATTTAGGTCATGCGGGAAGGAAGGGCAGGAGAAGTGTATAAGAGATAGGGAATGAGAGGGTGAGACAGGGGCATAGAGAGGTCGGGTGGATCTGTTTTGTAGAGCCTTCAGCATCGAATCGTAGTAGGCGGAGGGAACGGGTAACCAAACTGGGCTGATTGGAGGAGACAGAACAAGGAGTTTATGGTAGGAGATGCAAGGTGAGGAGAGAGAACATGGTGCGGTGAGGAAGTTAGTGGTATAATCAAACTCTCTGGGAGGGGTGAGCTCCGTTGGGAGTGAGCAGGAATCCTCTGCGTTGGCTGTAGTTGAAGGGGGTTTGGAGTAGGAAGTCGAGGTACAGCTAA